CGCGAACTCGCTCCTGCCAGGGATAGGCACAATTTTATTCGAACAATAGATGATTAAAAACACGGCGTTATCGTCCGTTCGCGACACGTCTACGATTAAACAGTTACTCAGGGTGGTTTTCAATTTAATTTCGTTGCATGATACAAATTAGAAAAGCAAATGAAGCATTTTTCGAATAAACAAGATAAGTTCGTAACAATGAATACATTAGGAAAGCAAATGTTCTTTCAGGGTGAAGTTGCTTCGTCATTTTTTTTTTTTTTTATTGGTTTTTCTGTGATTATTTGTCACTAATATTTCCTGCTTGAACAAGACCATTTTTTTTTTAGACTACGACTACACACTTAAAATGAGACGAGAATTTGTGTAAATACTCTCAGTATAACACACCACTTTCTCTTTTCCCCTTTATTACTATAATAAAGTGTTTCCTCTTCCTCAATTTATTTTTTTCCTTCTTTTCACGCGCTCAGCTATGATATATTCGATTTCCTTTAAAATCACCGAGTCCAACTAATAGATTACAAAATGTTTGCTGAAGTTGAGCGATCGCTTCCGATACTGATTATGTTATTCAGTCGATTTGGAACATAAAAAGCAAATTTCACCTGTAATACAAATTCTACTTCCTATTTATCACCTGACATTTTCATCCAGATGAGAATTTCTTAATCTTTTTGTGCGTAGTCTGTGTCTGCCATAGGTAAAAGGAAAGCTCCGATATCGCGGTGAACCTTGAGGCAGGATGGAAATCTCGCGAAATATATGCAAAAATGTTGCGGCGAGAAATGTGGCACGGCGGCGCCTCGATTAGAAAGTGTACGACTAGACAATGAAAACCGTAATAACGCGTAAACCAGTTTTCAAGCGTCCAACGATTTATCGATAACATCGTTAACCCCTTAACGCCGATCTGCGTAACTCATTGAGACTCTGGTCTACATTCCTTTATCTTCAACTGTGGGATAATTCTGCTCCACTTTCACAGACGCAATCTTATTTCTCATTGTTTCGACGTATAACTTTAGCGATCTCGAGCAATTAACATAATTAAAAATATCTAATATTTAATAACCTGTGAGCAATCCTCAAACGTTCATGGTCACAGTGAACTTAATAGACATTTTTCTCCCTTCTAACGTTTGAATATTTAAAAAATTTGTAATTGAATCGTTGAGGATAACTGCATTCGAGGAAGAAACTTTTGCGTAATTTTCGCTAACATAAAATTCGAATAGAAATTCAAGAAAACAATGGCGGATGTGCAATTAACGACTCAACGCAGACTACAGACGTAAACAAATTGCCTCGCATTTGGAAGGCGCGTTCGCGTTAAAAATTAGGTTACGCGGTGTAGAATGATTAACGCCGTGATCAGTGGAATTTTGCGAGAAAGCGAGCAATTATTTACGACGCGGAGCCGGCGACATATGAAAATATCAATGGAAATTGGACGACTGCCATATCTCTTTCACTCTACGCTGTCTCGGCCAGAGCGAAATTTGCTTCGTGCCAAATTAATCAAATTCAGCGTAACAACGCGACGAAAATTGAATCGCGCAAAACCCGCAAGTCGTAGGCGTTTGTGACATTTAGAAACATTCGATATCTCGCTCAACAATGGAAGCATGATAATAAATACGCCACTGTGGAGTGAAGTTGGAGTAAACTCAATTTAATTGGAGAACCGAGGAGGAGAACAGAAGTGTCTTCTACAGGATAGTCATGGGAATTGTCGCGATATCTTTTTTAAACGCAATTTAAAAAATATTTAAGGGAAAAAATATGGGACCGAATAATAATTCGGAGGAAACTATATCGAGGACAAGCGTCATATTTTCTTCCGCAAAAATTGCCAATTTCTTTTAAATAAATTATAGGTTGTATTAATGTAAAAGTGGTTGAAAAATTAGTCCATGAAGAATTTTCAATAAATCTCTTCTTTCTATAATTACTTTTTCCACAAAAATTACAATCTGTATTACGCAATCAAATAATATTCCACATTATACAAATGGTGGAAACCTTACGCGAATAACTCGACAAGAATTCCGTTTATGGTATTATGCAATAGGAGTTTAAAGGCCTTTCAACGCCAAAATCGACGATGAAATCATTCGGTGATCCGTGGCACTCGCTATCGCGATGGCGATGATAACGATGACGATAACGATCTCGATGACGAGGAACAATGATCGAGGGGTTTCTCATCGTCGATAAAAATGGACGACGATGAATAAGCGGGATGCAAATCAGGTCTTGCCCTTTTGAATTCTCATTCATGGGGAGCTAATGCCTGTGCAGGTCGTATATGTTTAGATAAGCGGGTGTTGTGTCGTCTACGTACGCGATCGTTGGTATACGTGTAACGTAACGCCAGATAAAAGTTATCTGCGAGTGGTGGAAGGAAATAACGAGATTATCGAGTGTTTTGAGTAAACCAATTTGTCGCAAACAAGCGTTATTAGCGTCGCTTGCTTTTCGAAGCTGTTATCGCCGCTTGCGGTATTTCCCACAAATCTCTTTCACGTGCAAGGTGTTGGCGAGAATGGCGATAATAAATAAGGATTACTGAAAATTAATCGAATTTTACATTTGTAGTTTTCACATGAATTTCTATAGATTTTTAGTTTCAGTTTCATAGAGTTGATAACAGTTTAGATAGTAATCAATCAAGGTACCTGAGTCCACTGTTTGTTCCTGGAATAGTTCAGGAAGTTTCATTGTATATTCAAATGTATTTTATCTAACACTTCTTTTTAAATATCACTGAATTAAGATTCCAATCAGGAAATCCTCGAGTTACTTAATATACGAGAAAACGTGACACTACTGTAACAAGAAATCTATAGCGAACCACCATCTCTCCCGGCACCAATAAATCACCAGCCCAATCAAAATCAACCCCATCATCTAAAATCAAAATACAGCAACAAAATAAAAAAAAAAAACAGACACACAACCTATTGCATTCGTTTAAAAAACGATGGCCTTTTCGTTCTAGTGGGAATAAATGAATTCTCACCCAGCTCAGGGTTGTTCCAGGCGACAAACTGCGACACTAAATTTTTTCGATCGTTTACGCAATAACAGGAGGATCCGAAAACGCAATTTCCCTCATCGAAAACGAAACTCCCGCTAAATCAAACGCGTGTTACTATCGAAACATCGAACAGCGAACCGATAAGCCTCCGCTCGCCGAATGTCCCCGCTGGCGGTCGTCGAAAAAAAAATCGCAACTCGCGAAACACAAAGGCAAAAAAAAGGATGGAAAAAAAATGGAAGTTAAACGAGTCGATGTCCCGTTGTGCACGCTGCATAATGACTCGATTGTAAACCCACGGGCGCCCGCGCGGACGTTGCATCATTCATGCACGCCGAGGGCGAGAACACCATATTTGGCCGCGTCTCATCCGAGCCTCTCTCCACGGGGACGGCTATTTGTTCATTAATCTTATAACGCAACTCCTCGTGCGTAAATCGTCAATGTTAGGCGCCCCTTGTCTCGCGGACACGCGCTCCTTCGGCGTCGCGAAAAAGTGGCTGGAAAGATTACTTTGGCAAACTGATTCACTCAAAAATGTACGCGAAGTTTTGCTGTAGTATTTGTATGTATTTGTTGATACTTCTGAAACCATGAAAAGATGCAGAAGTATTGGATACTAACTCTTGGAATTTCAATGGGTTCGTATACATGTGCTATAATATAGTAATGCTAGAAATGGCTCTGATGGTGCAAAGCAGTCCTCTGAAAATATTTAGATTACTCATGTTTTGGTTAAGACTTCCGAAGACATGAAGAGATGCAGAAGTATTGGATACTAAATCTTGGAATTTCAATGTGTTCGCATAATAAAATGCTACTGAAATTGCACACGTGGGTTTGAATTAAACGAAATTTATTCGTCGTGACGTGCGTTTATCGTAGGTGTAACTTCAAGAGGTATTTATGGCGAGGATGCCGCGAACGTAACGGTCGCTGGAGCGTAACTATCAGAGGTGTGAACTGTACAGCTGTGCGAACGTAACTGACGATAATTTCCTGTTTTCCGCTAACGGAGGATCGGTCGGATGTGTCTTACAATGCGATCTATTCAGAAATATTCTCGACTAAATTTAACACGCTGCTAGGTGTAGCGAATCGGTTATTCACGGATGAATTGCACAGCAGTACCTCGACGATTACAGGAAAACGAAGATAAAAATTCTTGGAAGTATCCAGATTGGCGCAATTACCGAGGTAGCTAATGCAAAAAAAGAATCCCGATTACACGATATATCTACCTTGCATGCTTGATTTGACATGCAATCATAGAATCATCTACTTTTGTCTCAAACGGGTATAAACTTATCCGTTGAGTAATTGCAATTAATTTGAACTACGAGACATCTGTCTTGGCAGTGAATGGCTTAATATAATTTAATATTCATATTTATTACTGTATCGAGATAACATATCTCGAAAATAAACTTGACAAAATTAAATACACCGTCGAGGAATGAATGATCGCTAAGGTTCCAAGTGTAGTCGACCGCGTCCAAGAGCGTTCATCGCCTGATCGAACCCGTTCCAGATTTCCGAATCTGCTTCTAAGGAAAAGAAGCTCGAACGCTATAGCTATTCCCCTTATAATGAATATTTTTGGCCACGACTCCGTCATGCGGCGTTTCACCGAGTTTTCCCCCGTTGGCTTGACTCTTGCTAAGCGTGCCAAGTGGCCACTCGGTTGAATTTTTAATAAATGTCATATTCACGTGTTTTCCTTCCGGTACGGGGGAAGTAGGTCAGCCGCTGTGCGCGTCGTCCGAAAGCAAATTCGGTGAAACGATGCGGATAGCGTGCGAACGAGACTCCGCGATAGTGTTCATCGACCTTTCGTCGTTCGAAAGGAAAAATCATACGCGAAATAACCGTTGACACTTGTCGCAACCGCAGGACTTCAACTTCAGGCCGCTGTGGAACGTGCAACCAAAACAAGATGAAAAAAGCTATAGATCTAAGAATTGTTTTTCTTTCAAAATTTTTACTTTTCGAGAATATTAAAAATTTATGCCAAGAGTTGGGGGAATTATTCAATATGAAGGTTCAGATGGGATGAATTCTAGAGAGAAAGAATATCTTTCGAAGCTAAGAAGAATCGTCCAGTTGGCAGCTGATAAAACTGCGAAATGGGAAAGGAAACTTGAGAAAGTTGCTGAATCTTATTCAAAGGTTCTTATTGTTCGATATTGAAACACTTCAGAATGAATGATTTCCGCGAGGAAACGGGGTATTGGGAAAATTCGGAGTCAATGGCAATACATCAGCTTCCTTTCTTCAACGTAACCATACAGTTCAACATATCTATACATATCCACTATAAAATATCACTCAATAGCCCCACTCACCAAAAATCACCTTCCTCGTATAATCGCGATCCAATGAACGTCTGCATACGTCAAACAGAAATTTGCGTCGCTTCGCGAGCTACGCAATAAAGCTCGGGTAAAACAAGACGAGCAGGCTCGATTACTTTCGTATAACCAGAAACCGGTCTTCCGTAAACCTAGAACCGTCGTTTCGACGCGGATCCGCGACTCCACGCCGCGCCGACGCCGTTCCGCGTCAGGACTCGCGAAAATTCGCGAACCACCGCGATAAAAGAGAGACGTCGATGCGTAAGCGGCGCTAAAGCAAATTAACGCTCGCACAGGTTGCGCGGCACACTTTGCCGTGTAGCGGACCGACTTTCTTCGTGACAATAGGAAGTGTGCCGAGGGACAAGGGCCCTTCACAATGGCGTAACGCGAAACGGTACGCGCCAGGCAGCTAAGTGCATCATGCTTTGACGAAGGCGCACCAGCCGCCAGCGTTTCTCAAAGGGACGCGATCGCTCGTGCTTTCTTCGTGTCTTCGTGTTTCAAGATTTCTTCGTCAGAAGTTAGGCTGCGTTTTATATTCTCGACGCTTCCAGTTCAAATGTGAGTAGGTAGAGATGGACTATGTGTTCTTGTTAAAATAAAAAAAAAAAAACTCGGGTGGTTGAGGAATGCAATTTGGTTTTTATTTTTAGGGAACTGTGCACTTTAAACTTATTAATTTACGTATCGGGGTGATCACTAAAGTGGAACGATCAGTAGTGAAATTATTACAGTAACGCTAGTGACTGAGTTTATGGCAAATAGCAAGCTCTATAGACCAGGAGTAGTGTACTCCCCCAATTATGATGTCTAAGACACGACCTACACCTAGTCAACCAACGTCTCAATGACTTTCTTAATAATTAATGTATAATCTATTATTATATAAACTACAATATAAAATGAAACTCGTGCAGTCTAGAAGACGTTCCACCCTCTTGTACTGCGACACAGGGATGAAATAATGGCAAAAATTTTCTGCTATCGTTCAAAGTTCTCAAACAACGTGTCGGTGCTCGAGACATTTATCTTGCAAGCTTGATGGAAAATGGTTTCGCCTTTGGAGAAGGATGGCAGGTGGCGTCACGGGGGTTTGAGAGACGCTGAAGCCGGGTATACATCACCCGGAAGAGTGGTGGTGTTACCGAGGGAAGCTGGCCGGGCTGCTAGAGGAGGGCTCAGAGGGGTGTACCGGGGGGGCCACTTCTCTATAGAAGCTCTCTTTTTTTGCTTCTTTCATGCCGGCAGCACAAGTGGAGTCAATGACTGCCGCGGGCCCATTCATGAAATTTATCGAGGTAATCGGCCGGTTACGCTGGTACAAGAGGCCACGGGAACATCGTACATGCGTGCACGCGGCACGCGTCATACGCCTCTCGAGTGCGCCGAAGCCGCCGCGATTAGAGATTATGTTCTCTTTCAAACGACATTTTCGTACGACGAATGTAGAATCGAATTCGTAAGGAACTCCTAAGGATGAAATTACGATATCAATTAAATAAATGTTACAAGTCTGAGGATGACGATTCATAAATACTTAGCAATTCGACTAATTTTTTCGGGTCATTTTCAGGAATTTTCATTGGTTGTTAAACACTTTTCATCTGAGAATATACTTGTTCAACACTTGAACTCTATTTCAGTTTGCAAATGACAGTTATGTGCCCGACATCCTTAAAAAATTGTGGAGCACAGTAGACATGGTTTCATCTTTTAGAAATGAACAAAATTTTGTGTTAATATTATTTTCTAGAGAAAATATTCTCTCGTGAGATGATTAAAAGCAATTGAACACTGTAAATAGTACAAAAGTATAAGAATTAAACAAACATTTTTCTTTCAGCATGTTACCGTTTCAAATTATGTATAAAAGTATGATCTCGCACCGTCATAGCTCAGGTTAAGTGGTTAATTTTACGTGAGTCATTTTGTGTACGTTTCAGCAACGAGAGGAATCGGTATTTTCACAAATATAATTATATATGCAAGTGGGAACATTAAAAGCCATTAAAGGTGAAAATACGGTTTAAAAATCCCGTACCTGTTGCCATTATCTCTCGAATATCACATTAAGTGTAATGCTATTACGTCAGAGCTCCAGGGGAAATTGGCGTTTAACGAGTTAAAAATAATCGAGTAACCTTAAAATTCAGCATCGAACGCGGTATCGATAAACGCGCGTGAACAGAGATAAAAGATCAATCGTCATAACTGTGAAATTCCACGGATTTTTGTGGCTTCGCCATTGAAGTACTGCTTTCAATTATAAACGTTAAAACACCTAAATATAAACACGGTTATTGTCTTCACAATGAAAAATCATACAAATTTCACACGTTTTCGTACTATTCACGCTCATAATAAAACAACCCCTGTTTTAACAAGTCACTCTAATCGATACCAAGGCAATATAAATCGAATCATTTATACACACGATACAACTAAACGAAACCATGTTCAATGTTTGAAGACTAACTCTCGGCAACATAGAATAAATGAAAAAAAAAAAGATTCATTCCTTAATTAGTGATCCATCCCATTCATCGGTGTTATTAAATGATACACAATGCGTTATTAAATGATGCACAGCGCGAAACGTTTACAAAGGGATTTAATTATTGAAAATTATGAGGATATTAATTTAGTAAATGCTAGGCTGCTGAAATGACATAATGTGAGTCGTGTTTCTCTTGTACGAATGAACGCGGTGCAACCGCGAACACGCAACGCGATTGCGGGAGGGGCAGGAGGATGCGGGGGTTCGTGAGTGTATGCGTGTGCGTGAATCGACAAATATAAGCGAGCCAACCGATTGCGTTCTCATGCGAAAAGCATACGCGACGCGCAGCGTGCAGGTACGCCAACGTGCGCGCTGTTGCATTTGTAAAGGCCGGTGCACTGACGACGCGGACGTCAACAAACAAGCGCGACGGCCACACTGTCCGGGAGTTCAATGCGCCTCGGCGAGTTTGACGGAAGCGGGGGAGGGACAGCCAGAAAGGGACGAAACAGGGACAAAGAAGGGTGAAACGGGGGTAAGCGCATAGAATGATGCGACGAACATGAAACCTTGATAAAGGGAGGAAATACCTTTCACGACTGCAAAGGATCTCCCCGATTACTGTTTTTAATTGGTAGTAATTAAAGGAGTACGGTGGAGGACTCCAAGAGTGCATCTAGGAAACGATTCTGGAACCTCAATTCTGAGTGGATATCGGTTTAGATAGTTTAAAAATCATTTTAAAGATAAAACATTGCATGGTATTTCCTGGATGAACAAGATATTTAATGTATAGTCAGGAAGACGTTCTAAGCTAAAGTACAATTACAATTTTCATTTCGAATTAAATTTTGGTAGTACTCGATTAATATCCAAGGATAGTATTTTCAGGAAAATAATGGCAGATTAATTCTGCATTAAACAATGCCTCAACTTCCAGGTACTTTTGCATGCACTCAGTATTAATACACGAGAAAGCTTCCTCCGACCGAAGCTTTCAGCGTTATTGACATTTGGAGCCTCATGTACGATGTTGCATCGAAATCAAACGTTAAACATGCTATATCAATATTGAATCATATTTTCCATATCGGTTATTTGAAGGAGAAATACTGTCGTTCGAAGTGGAAATAGGATCCGAGGGATGGTAATTCAGACAGAAATGCAACTTCATGCATAATTGTACGAATCATTTCTAAAATCAAAAATCTTTATAGACTTTCATAGATGATGTCTTAGTTACTATCAATAATTTTCAACCTATCCAGAGATAGTGACATAAGATTAGAATAATTTAAAATTTCTATGGTGAGCAGAGACCACAGAAGTCCTCTTACGGTTAACCATTTGCACTCCACTAACCTAACTGCGGCGACACATGTTATATACATACACTGGAATTCAGTCCAAGTTTCATTTCTGGTAAGCCAAACTGAGTTAAGTATTAAAGCCAAGAATAATTGTTGAACCAGGCCTGCCAAAACAGTGTTCCTCACGTTTGATAAAACACAACTATTTGGCAGTTTATACCATTACAGAGTAGTTAAATTCTCATACGAAAAAGCACACTTTCTATTCACTCGTACAAAAAAAATTGTAGTGCAAATGGTTAAGGTCGAATAGTTCCTCGCACTTTCGTTCTCCGACCAGGGAATATCTTGTACATTGAAAATACCATCCCAAGGGCGAGTCTGAATAGCCAACCCCATGGTGCTCGACTTTGCATCCTGCTTCTAAAAATTCTGAGAAGCGCCTTGCAAGCCACGAATCCCATTCGAAACTACGTAGCCTGAATTCCAAACCGATCTTTCCACGTCCTTACCGTGAAAAAGTTTGAAGGAACCGCGTGGTCACGTATTTGCCAAGCGCGCCTAGCAAGTTTGGTATCGAAGCCCGGAGACAAACCTTTGAGCTTCTTCGTCTGGGGCTCCCGTGGCACTGAAAAGTTTGGGCCACCGGTGTCGGGACGTTTGTCGAAGCTTGTTTGCGTGGAAGGATATCGACAACCTGACCTTGCAGCCACGCTTTTCACTGTCTTATTAGACCTGGCGCAAAAGACGAAGAAGAAGAAGAAATGTTTCATTCTTCATAGACGGAGTCCTTTATTAAAAAGTGCGATTATTTTGTGACTGAAGCAGGAGAAATTTAAACACGGTTGCTTCGATTGGTACAAGTATCATATAATCAGATATGTAAACTGTCTTTTAAAAATATATGAAATTAATCTGTTCGTATGTAAATTAATTCAATTCTACTTAAAAAGATGCATCATCGAACTTCTTTTTATCAAGGCATTAAAAAATGAAGCTCGAGGAACGTTAAACTTCAACAAAAACAATTCTCCAGAATATTCTGATTACTTTGATTATTTTTCCTACGTTTCAAGGTGCTTCGCTACACCGTAAAAGGAAATCTGCCAGCCGAATTCGAGTAAATCGAGGCAGCGCAGGAGCAATAAAAGTAGAAAGTGTCTGCAGGCGTTTCGCGAACGCGTGTACCTTCAGCCTCTGTCACTCGATACCTCCACCCCCGAGACCGTTGGGCGCTTAGGTCGTTTTCCTTTGCATCTCGCCTAACACCTTCGCCGTTACTTTCCCGTTTCATCTGCATCGCGAGCGGGAGTCGCGTTATATACGATTACGCGGGGGAGGACGTCGAGTCAAACGACGCCCGACGGAAAATCGATAGGGAACGATATCGCGGGCTCCCTTGTCGAGCAGTATCGGTGCTCTCGTGCCATAGTCTGACCGTTTTAGTGCTCGTGCGAAACGCTCGCGTAAATTCAACGGACAGCTTACAAATCGCCGATTTCGTCCAACGTTCTCCTGCTGCTCGCGCTTTAGATAAGTCGGAGGAAGTGGATGAGTAAATTTCGCGGGATTTTCAACGAGCTGATACTACGATCGTGGAGGCAGGATGACTATTTAGCATTCACTGGGAATCCACAGCAGATAAATTCGAGTCGAGCGGACGGAGGAAGGTCTGCGCTGATTGGGCCAAAGATTGCGAGTAGCGAACGGATAAGAGAAATCATTGAAATTCTTGTTCGATAGAATATATAGCGAACATGAATTTCTGGAGACTCGGAATTTACGGATTGGGTTTAGGAGGTAAACAGATACCTAGGTGAATTTTAATATCGATGCAAGAATATGCTGTGGATATACTGAATGTGTTCTTTTATTTCTTGAGTGTGGGGAGAATTTAATGTGAAGTGAAACTTTTGGTGTACAATGCCCTACTGGAAATGAGCGTTATTTGAAACCAATAAAAACATTTATTTTATCGAGAATATCCAGGTCAATGTACACTAAACGTTGTAACATATTTCTGTCCTAAAATCTGGAGGGAACGAAATCCACAGCAAGTTTTTCTTTTCTTTTTCCTCGTTTCGATAAAAATTTTTCAGTAATCGATACTCTATTAAAAAAGGAAGCTTTTCGAGCTCCATTACTCTCCAATTTTCAATAGTTTGCCAATGCACTCTCGCTTACATTCCACCTGCGGTTTTTAATAAATTGAGCACACAGGAATTTCTTTTCCTTTTACATTCCTATATTAATTTGCATGAATTGGGTAAAGCATGGTAGCATCTTACGTTGCAGGACGCTTGACTTGTTCGGATCTTTGCTTCGCGTATGCACACAGAGAGCAAACTATTCGTCGAACGTCGTAAAATTTTACTTTACGTCAAGTAAACACGGCCCACTAAAACCATACGACCGATGTTCTCTGCATCGAAACGTGTTCCATCCGCGAGGGGTTAATATTAGACGGCTATAAATATCGGCTGGCTCGATTCCGTGGCTAAATTTAACCCTTTCACTGTTTAATAAAATCACGAAATATGGCTCAGCATGCAGCTGACCTTTTATAATACTATACTTGTTTATTGAATTGTACGTGCTTCAAATAGTCCAGGACGCTTTGCGTCGAGGGAATAATATCGAGTCTATTGAGTCAGGAGTGTTACATTTAAATACCACTCTCTGTACCAAATGTAGAATAAAAATATACAATGATATATTTCCCAAAGAACAAATAAAACAAAAATTGAGCTATCCTATAACGTAAGAGTCATATTCGTATCACGTATCATATTCCTCAACCATTATTCGCGAAATAAAATGAAAATTT